ATAGAAATAATTCATGATTTTAATAATTTCTTACTAAGAAACAAAACATTTTCAACTCTGACACCCAAAATAATTCCCTTGCCCTTGATTGCCTTTAAATTTCCAGTTAGATGGCCTCAGAGGTTTGTTAGACAACATTTAAACACCAAGAAACACACAAGGAAGGTCAACGATGAAATAGTTAAGAAGTATAAAGTAATGTTAAACACTGTGACAATTTCCAAAATGTTAAATACATTAAAGAGCACCAATTGATGTACTATCTTTAGTGAGTCTGGTTTCACTATACAAACATATAGATATATACATCATACAAAAAAAGAAAAAAAAAAAAAAAAAAAAAAAAAAAAAACAGAGAGAGTCGTACAGATGAGAGAGGAGATACAGAAACTCAAGCTTAGGTGAGAGAATCTGCTGACAGAATAACTAGTCAGTCCTTCCACAAATTTTGCTTATATGGCAGGAAGCAACGGAATCACAGAAAGAAAACCATAAAAAATCTCACTCCTAGTTTGCCATAAACATTGTTGCTAAGACACGTGTAGAATTAAATTATTTTGGCTAATATGGAAAATGCTTTATGACACAATTTATTTCCTGAAAGTTGGAGCTTGTAACAAAAGCTTTCTTACATTATTTAGTTGTGGTCCATCTAATGAAATAATTTAAAATACATAAAGGTTTGTAGATTTCACATAATATAATATAGAAGAGTTCAAGATATATGTGAATACATTTGCAATGCACTGTCATAAGAACAATCTCTCTTCCTTGGTTGAAAAGGCCACCAATGGCCTGATGGCTTTGAAGTCATAAATAAGGCAGTGAAATGTTTGTTTTAAGGGAACAGGTAGCTACTTTTTTAAATTATTATTATTTAATTTTTTTGAGGGGACATTGGTATTATTAGTGCAGGGCCAATCCACTGGGTATTCTTTAACTATTCCTCACAGCAGCCACAGAGCTTGGCTGCCTATGGCCTGGAAATATGTTTGCGTGTATTTCCCCATAAATAATGCATGGTACTACTTCTGTGTAAACTGTCATATGCTACATAATAGATGTTAAAAAGGCAGTTTATGCAGTTAACTTTAGTTTTGGGAAGTTCATTATAATGGAGATGACAAAACAATCAGTTATACCTCCAGTGTCTGTGTTCCAGTGAAACACTAAATAAACATCTGGTTAAAGAAGAAGCATCCTGCCACAGTTCCTATGAATAATTCACTATTACAAAGAACAGAAATATTGTTTCAGTAATGCCATCTGGTAGGGTAAAGTTGATCTTAACAACTAAAATGTTGCTGCTAAAGCTTTTTTGTTGTTGTTGTTTTGTTTATCGTCAAATGGTTATTCTCAAAATAAGAAATCAAATGAAACTAATTTCCAGTCCTTCCCATTCAAATTTACTACCATATATATCTGTGCACAATAAATTCAAGACTTTTTTGTGCACTCGTATTTCTGTCAGTGAGAGTGAATGGGAGGAGGTCATCTGACACCATGTGTGTTGTGTGTCGTTAAGGAAACACCCCACTGTTGGCCTGACACTGAAGAGAAGCGTGAAAGTGGACTTATGACTTCATAAGGTAATGTTCTGATTAATCCAAAAAGATATTTGTATACAGTAAGCAATATAATTTACTGTTCTTTTTTCTTTCACTCTAAGCTGTTTTTTTTTTTATTAAGTGTGATCAAAGTTCATACTTTGGAAAGAAGCAGTTTAAGAAAAGCATCATGCAAGTTTCAGCTTAAAATACTTAAATGAATCATCTTAATGATACATAAATCAAACACAACATAGATTTTTAATGGTTAACGTGAGTGCTGTTCATTTCTATTTATTTTAAAATTTAGAGTTGAATCTGTTTTAGAACAAAACTTTAATCCTTAAAATGTGTAATTGGGTTGTTAATGTATGTAAACTGTTACTGTATGTAATGTATGGAAACTGCTGTGGAAGTAGGAAATGCAACCCTTCATGTCTGAACCCTGATGCAAGGTGGATTAGCTGCTGTTGTGCCTAAAGAATAGGCCTGTGTCCACTGGCCAATATTGCAACTATTGAATTACATCCCTAAACAATGTGTGCAAAAAAGAAAAAAATGAATGTCAAGTAAGGATTTCAGATCACACTATGTGATTAAAAAACAGGAAGTCTTTCGTCTGTAGCTGGAAAGATCCTTTTTTGGATTAGGGTGGATTAAGTTAATCTCAAAACCTGACAGCAGATACTCTTGTACACATATAGATTTTGCAATCAAAAAATGGTGTGTTATAAACAAAGGTCTGCTGAAAGTCATTGAGTGGAAATTCTAGAAGGAAATACATTTTAAGATGTAAAATTCAAAACAGCAATTAACTGAATAAAGGGTCAGATTGTTAAACTCTTAGCAGAGCTCTTTTGTTTCAGATCTGTGGAAACCTGCAGAAAAAACAAAAAAACATGTACAGGTCAAAAAGAAATGCACTGGCAGAAAACTCTGTATGTATAATTTAGTTAGACACACATTTAATAATTCAGCACTTCACTGAACTCATACATGTTAATCTGCCTATCTGATCCTAACTCAGCTTTAGCGAGTGCTTAATTCTCAGGTTTTTTCAACATCGTTGTTGTGTTCGCATATGGCTTTTGACAGAAAACATGAACCTTTAACACAAAAGCGGATCAGTCATTTATATGGTTAAGAACAGTGTTGGCAAACTCTCTGTTTAAAGCGTCAGGGTTTGGCAGGAGGCATGCAGTTTTTACAATTAAAAGACCACTCACAGCATCACAATTTTACAACCTGTGTAAAACATTTACACATGCAAAGGCACACTCGACTCTTTAAACAGCCAAGAAAAAACAGTTAGGCAAATCAAAAGCAGGAATGTAAAGGTGTCCAATTTAATATAATACATATGTATAGGAAATGTTACAAAGCACCTCTGTATTTTAATGTATTATCTCTCTTCTGGTGATAAGTGCCATTGGATACAAATAGAGACAGCTGGAAGTATGGCTAAGGAGTTTTATACTCCACATTTGTTTACATAATCAGCTTTTTTTCAGGCCATGATAAGGCTGCATGGATATCCTGTGGTCTTTGCCTGGTTAATGTGAACGGACCGCACACTGGCTCTGCTTTCACTGAGTTATTACGTCGAGTGTAATTTGAAACAATTACAAAAACACTAGCCCACTTGTTACAACACTCATTTTCCCCTCACATATACAAACCACGGATTCAATAGCTTTACATGTTTTTCAATCACACCCAGTGGAGCAGTGTTCAGTGTGAAAAAGTGTAGCATTTCATCCTAGCTCGCATGGTATGGGATAATCTTTCACATTTTGCCCGGGGTTTGTTTTGCTATTTCAGCAGAAACTTGCACGAGCCATGTGAATTACCACAGGAAAAGATGATAAAAACACCAATGATATTGTATCAGATGTAAATGAACAAACAATTTGAATAATCAGGGCAAATAATTTGTTATCTCCGAAAATAAAGGCAGTTTATTATCCTTTCTTCTCAAAGATGTATTGAGGAGATAATAGTTTTAAACATGCAAGCAGGATAGAGATAATGTAAGACTGCTTGGAAGGAGCTACTTTGCTCTGCACATGAAGTTTCTGATAATACAGAAGGGAAAATAAGTATTGAAACATAATTTTTCAATAAATAAAATTATATAAGGCTGACGGAATTATGGAATGTTAGTAAAACCTGAAAATGGTGAAATCTGTAAAAAGAAATATTCATGCGGTAATCATAAGATTTATATGTTGCGGAAAAACCACTCACATACATTGATCCTATATATTAGCCACATGCTCTAGATCAAATCTTGGATGTTCCGTAAGCCTGATGTATTTCTAAAAGGCTTAGTATTGCACTGATTTCAGATGACTTACTTGGCTTTCTAGCAGCTTTATTTTCCTTTTTTCTGAAGCCAACCAGTCTGTCATTGACTGTGTTTCTTTTTATAAACCTCAGTAATTCAACAAAGAACCCCAAACTTTGTGGGGTGATGTGCAATGTTGTTTCTCTTCTTGTCATGACATTTCTATTGACATCTAAAAGAGTTTTGGTGTCATCTGAGCAATTTTATTCCTCAGCATTTCTTTATATTCTGCTACTAGTTTCAAAGACAGATATTTATGCCTTTTCTTTATCAGTAAAGATTTGTGCACCATGTGGCCATTGGTCTTAAAGAATTGTGAATGATTTTATTAGGAAAACTTTACATGCGAGCTGTAGCTATCCCAACGGCTACCAAAAGGCCAACTGTGCAACTTGAACTTTAGAAAACTCCATTGCTTCCTCTCTGTGCCAGGAGCACCTGATAGGGCCGGTTTATGGTGAAATAATGTGCTCTCCCCCTTTCAGAATATGGCTTCAATTATGCTCATTGTAACCAAATCTATAAGCCTTTATAGGAAGAAATAAAAATCAGAAGTGATCTTTGAGTGAGCATTTTGCTACAACTCGTTATGAAATGCTTCTTCTGCTATACGCCAGTAATAAAAAACTTTCCTGAGGCCTGTTGCAACCTATACTAAATATTTTTATTAAGATGTTTTCTAAATACCTAAAGCCAACAACTGTTTTGTCATCTCCTTTCTTCATATGTTAAAGAAATACTGTCTGTAACACTCCACTTAAGATAATTTTTGGACATGTCTGTTCTGATCTTTTGTATCTGTTTATAATTTTGCTTTAGCTTTGGCAAAGTTCATCAAAACATGTTTTCATTGACATATATATGGAAAATATAAAATATAAATATAGTATAAAGAAAAAAATAAATTGTTAATACTTTTCACTTTTTGTAACACCTTTGCAATTTCATTGACAATACAAACACAAACTTTAGAAGAACAAGTCGTATTTAATTTAAGTATTTTACTCAGGTTCATAGTTTATATACAATTGTTTCTTTGGTTTATCTTATTTTAATGAAATTATTACTCTCATTTTGCTGTTGCAGAGATATCCAAGCCAGTCAGTATTGGTCATTTGTGGAGATGGACACCTTTGGCAATGTGAGTGCATTTTCAGCTCTTTTCCTTATAATAATATAGCTGAACTTGAGGAGGCCATACCTCATACCTCAGACTCTCCCTCTCTCTAAAGGTGCTGGTGCAGCCTGACCATTGACATTTAACATTCCTTTGCGCTGCCTCTGCATTCTCAATGGGAAATTGAGGAGTGCAGAGGCCAGTGCCCAGTTCTCAGGGGCAAAAACAAAAAGGCCCTTGAAAATCCCAAAGAGTTCCCATGATCCAAAGAAAGACCTTCATCCGACCTGTGTTAGATTTCTATTCCATGGATTAGGGCACACAAAAAAGAACATATTTAGCTGATTTAGTTTGTTCCTAGACCTCGATTCTAGACAAGGCAATGTGTTTTACTGGCTGGCATTAAATTATATGGCATGGTAATTTGGCTAAAATAAAGAATCATTGAAGCTCTCTCTGCCAACAAAGCTTTCATAGCCTTTACTGAAATAAAGTCACTGCAAAGGCTTGTAGTGACATTTAATGGTGGAAAGTTTTCAAAGTCATTTTTCAAGGTTTTCCCACTAACATACATAATCTGTTAGCATCAAAGGAGCACACATGCATAAATAATTGACTAATTCACTTAAAGGGGGCCAGCGTAGATTAATTAAGCTTGAATACTAATTATGTTTTTCTGTCTACACCAACTGACGCAGTTGTTGTTTAGAAGAAACCGTTTGGTGGGTCACAATTACCGTGCTCATATAAGTCTGCTCTATAAATTAAGAAGCTTTCACATTTTAATGGCAGAGCTGGCTTTGTCTTTGAAAGGAAATGCTAACCTTATCTTTAGTAACATTAATCAGGAGGGCTTTGTAGGGGTTTTAACTGTTCTTATGACATTTTATTGATACTTCTTTTTGTTATTGTGACAGCAAAAAAAGACTTATCCCAAATATTAAACATAACCATCCTTTAGGCCTTCCTAGTTTGTTTCAAGCTTTTTTTCAAGTTGTGTCTGTTCCTTGTATGCTTTTTAGTATGTTTAAAAAGTTTAATTTATGTGGGGAAAAAGCAACACATCTGTCATGTATTTCACTTCAGTGCAAGAAGATGTTTGAAATTCTTTCATATACCATATAGGCCTACATTATGACAGCCTTAAAAAAATATCTCAAATTAAAGACAGAGACAAAACATATGCATGGACAGAAATGTCAAGGTTTTGAAAACTTCTATCACTCCCAGGACCCTCACGCCCCTCAACTCCTATACGGCTAGTATTCGGAGCTTTTTTTCTGGAAATGGTAGCTCTAAGTGTCCTAGGGAGGACGAGCTCCTGCTGTCGACTCTCCCCTGGCAAGCAGCATGTGCAGGCACAGAGGAAGACAGCTCAAAGCTGGAGCCTTGTTTACAGCTGTGCGCGGAAGAAAACAGGCAGACGTAAATGAGGGTTGACGGTTTCATGAAGCACAATTGGTTGATGGCAGATTCAATGTGACTGGGCTGAACTGGGCGATGATCCGTACAGTATGCAAAATTCACTTTCTAGCTGGTCTGTGCCCACCAGCCCCTAGCAGCAAGCGGTCTTCCCCAAGCCCTTCTAGCTATGCCTTTGAATACAACAAGAACTGAACAAGGCATTGTTGTGCTCTATTCCTTTTGACAACTATCACATTTAAAAAGGAAAGAAAGGGAAATAAGTTAGGAATTCCTTTTGACACCACGATTAATGATTTTTCTTTTTGTTGAATACAAAACATCAATTATTGGTGAGAAATAAGGAGGTGATTAAAGATGTAAATATACCCCATATACGCATAACTCTCTTAATCAAACATAAATTGTAATAGAGCAAGAACTCTTGACTTGCATTGGGAACATGTAGAACTGAGCGAAACAGGTGCTTTGGACCCACCGTTTCATTCCTGGAAATGCAGCATATGTTTTACACCCATCCATCCATACATCCATTTTCCGTAACGCTTATCCCTGCTGTGGTCGTGAGGGGTGCTGGTCCGTATCTTCAGATGTCTACGAACGAGAGGCGGGGTCCACCCTGGACAGGTCACCAGTCTATCTCAAGGCAACACAGAGACAAACAGGACAAACAACCATTTAAACAGACACTCAGAGCTAAGGAGAATTTAGAAAAGCCAGTTAACCTAACATTCATGTTTTTGGACTGTGGGAGGAAGCTGGAGTACCTGGAGAGAACCCATGCATGCTCAGGGAGAACATGCAAACTCCATGCAAAAAGACCCTGTGCTGGGAATCAAACCCGGAACCTTCCTGTGGGAAGGCAGCAGTACTACCCACTGTGACACTGAGCAGCTCCGTTTTACACCCAGGTAGAACATATAAAGCAACACTTCCTGCATGATCAGAGGATTTTTAGAGTCCCAAGTAGTTCCTCTTGCAATAGTTTTAAAGACAGTAAGGCTAAGGCGTACATGTGTTGTTTTAGCTTTGCAATAATCACCGCTTTAAGTTTCTTAGTTTTGAAGAATACCAAGAATACTTTTTAAGTAGATAAGTAAATTCCAAACAGTTATCTGTGTAGGCTTTTACAGGATCTTAATTTTCCATAAGGTTCCAAAATATCCAAATCCAGCAATCTTCAATGACAGTTCTAATATTATAAAGAAAACAATCATCTTAACGTGAAAATAATAAAGGCTTCCCATTATTTGAAGAAGATTTCTCTCTCTCTCTCTTTAAGCGGCAGCCTGAGCAACTAGTCACTATGTCAATGTTGACAAAACACTTTTCAAACACTGACTGACACTGGAAATAGCAAACCTTCTATTTGGCCATCCACGTCAAAGTGTGTTAGTTGCATTTAGGTGTCTTGCTTTTTCTGATCATGAAAGATAAGATTTATTGGGTTTTGACTGGCTGATCACAAGTCTAATTAAGTCAAAATACACATTTGTTTATTCTGGCAACTGGAAAATGTCTTTGTAAAATTCTGATAAAAATTAATAAAAAAAACTGAGCTAAGGAAAGAGTAAAGTAAAGAATAGAACATAGGGAGAAAGTCATAACTAATGCCAAATTTGTCGCTCATCTTTGGTACGACACAGTATGTACAAGTCACAGAAGATGATTGGTACCCAGTCGAAAAGAAAATGGTTTTTAAATAAGTTACAATTAGATAAGCATTAATCTCAGTGGTATAAATGAATGTCTTGCTGTAGGGCTTGTCGAATGTAAAAACAGATTTACAAAACCCCTCTTTCCAGATTGGTCTGGAAGTCATCCTCTGCTATTTTAATTGCTCTGTCATTTAAAACTAAAAAAAAGCCCCCACCCCCAACAACAGTCTGCCCCTTGATTTTGCCTTTGAAATTAAATATTGTATACAAATACATGCTGTTCATGGGTATGAGCACCGTTCATCACTGGAATCTGCATAAAATAATGCTTAAAGAGCTCCATACGCTTTAAGCAACAGAACTCTTTCATATGGTGCATTCACATGTAAACATATCAGTAACACAAAAACACAGCTACTTAGGTCCTCTCCTTTTGCTTTTGCATTGTTCTTCTGCTCCACGGAAATGAGAGAAATGTTCCAATGTGCCTTGTTTCACATGTTCGTGATTTCAAAGAAACCCTGTGCTTCCTTTTGGATATTCTTTTTGTCTATTTTAGACAAATGAAGACCACCTACAATGTTACATTAAAGTTAGCATGGATGCACAGATATTTGAAGATAATTCGTGCAAATGCAGCTTGCTTGTCTTACGTTTTTTTTTTCTTGCTGGAATCCAAGTTTAAGAGCCTTGAGGTTGATATAAGGTGTAGAAAAGAAAAGTGCAAACTGTGTCTGTGCACCAAGCTTGTGTACTCTGAAAAAATGCACAATTTTCCAGCTGATAGTGGTGTTGCCTGTTCATTTTAGAAATGTGAAGGAAGTATTTTAATGTGACCTTCATTACACATTCATGTCAACTTTTCTTATCTATTTATGATTAAATTCTTTTCCACTCCTGTTGTTCAATTAGTGCTTGACCCCTTTAGCGGCGATGTAAATTAAATGACATTTCAGTGTCGTCCCATATTTAAAATACTGCATTAGTTGCGGATCATAAATGATGATCTTCATTCTGCAGCTAATTTATTCATTTAACAATTTCCCTCCAGAAGTTACAGCAGAAGGCTCTGCAGCAACCTAAGCAGAAGAAATCCAAGTCGGCTGAATTTCTGATGGGTAAGTCCTGCTTGATGAGTTATTGCTCATAATTTGTGTAAGGATTAATTAACTAATTACAGACAAATGGCTTTGGGCTAAATTTTGCTCTTGCTTGTCAGGGCGCAATTTGTAATTATTTTAATCATTTCTTCTTCTCCTCTTTTTTTATCCTCCTCCTGCAAGATTCTGATTTAATTTTAACCTAATTGTGTTTTAGAACCATTTGAGAAGGATGCGCTTGAAAATTTTAGGGGTATTGAAATAACCATTAGAATTTCCCTTTAAAATGAATATTTCTAATATTTAAGAAAATATTGTTTTCTGTGGTGAGTCATTGACCTACACCTGATGTTTTTGGCCTATGTGTCAGTGCCTTTCAATTTAGCCTTCTGCTTATTTTATCAGGGAGCGAGGAGAGAGCTGCTGTTGTGGGCATAGAAAATCTTTCCTTCAATGGAGAAGGAACCAACGCGCTTTCCAATTCTACGAGTTGGCTCGGGAGAAAAATGCGAGGTGACAGGCCAGATAGCACCCTTGCAGCTCACCAAAAGAAATTGGAGCTGCAAGCCCCTGCCAGAGAAAGAGGTGAAGCTTCATTCTTCATTAGCCTCAAATCTGTTGACAGTAGATGTGTTCCTGATCTAACCTTTCTCTCGCTTCCTCCTTCTTTCTCTCCTGCTTTCTCTCAATTCGAGGGGCCCTTGGTCCTGGCATTCCAAAGCAAGCATGTCCAAACAAGCGCGGTCTTATAAGTTCTTCTTCCGCTGGAGATCGCTCTACAGTAGTGGGTGTTCTATCTCTATCTAGAAGTACCCTCGACACAATCAGCCTTGACTCCCACTCTCGGCTACATGCCTTGTGGTGGGCTGGAGTCATAGGAGAGTGCATTTACATATGCTACTATGTTACCAAGCCGATCCGCTGTCTGTGTGGTGTACTCACAACACCCCCGAAACACGGCTTTAGGCCAATCAGGCATACGAATATGCCCCCTTATAATTCAGTATGTCAGGGAGAACTCTTGAGGAATGGGATGGTAAATTAGAATGCGTTCAAGGTTGCAAGCGTGCCAGTTTTCTCAGGGATGAGTCACATTTTTGATTTTTGATTTAATGTGGCTTATTTTGCTCTGGCACAGAATGGTTACTAATTATTTTACACTTATCGTCATCATTATTAATGCAGTGAAAATAGAATCACATTTCAACCATAAGAGTCTCACACAGAGAAAAGGTGCGATTAGAAGTTTCGTTCAATTAAGTTCCATTTATTTGTATAGCACCAATCCACAACACATGCCACCCCAAGGCACTCCACAGAGACCTCCCAACCAACTAACACAGTCAGATTGGACAGCATTTTTCTATCTAAATGAAACCTTGATTGCATGGACTGATTGACTCTCTGCAATCACTCACATAGAGCATGCATGTTGTGAAAGTAGAGAGAAAAAACTTGCTTTCAACAGGAAGAAACCTCCAGCTGAATCAGGCTCAGTGTGAGCGGCCATCTGTTGAGGCCGACAGGGGTTCCAGGAGACAGAAGCAGATATGCAGATATTCAGATAAATGAAATAAGTTCCTTTTACGCTCGAGTCCCAGCAGAAGACTTTGATGCTGAGAATCGACATTCACTTGGATGAGTAACCTAGAAAAGGATTAGAGTAGACTTCCCCCTGGGGCCCGGACACTGGTGGTGGATAAGCCAGAGGGTGAGCGGGACTGAGAATAATCTGAGAGTGAGGGAGGAGATGGTATAGAGGTGGGTGAATGTTTGCCCACTTGAGAGATGGAGATGCTAGGAAGGAGCTAAATAAAGGGGGTCTTTGGGAAGAAATATTTATTTCTAAGCTACTTTTTAAAAACATAAAAACTGAGACTAATCTTTGGAATTGTAGAACAATAGAAAATATGTTTTGCAAAGATTGGTTTAATTGTTAATTCAGTAATCACATAAAAAAACTACAAATGACACCTTAATAAGTACTCCGGTGGTAAAACTGTATTAAATAGAAATGTTACTTCTGCAATTTTTTATTTTTTTTATATAACTATAACTCAGTTTGTTTGTTGAACAAGCGATGAAGACTTGTAGAGTATCTTGAAACTACTGCCGGCAACATTTTGAATTTACCTAAATTTACATTGCATCTTGCCATTTTCCACTTAGAAACGACTATGGTCCCCCCAATCAAAACAGAGTGATTAAAGAAATGGATGCATTGGAAGATGTAGTCACATGGTCATTTTATATATATATACATATATCAGAAGATTCAGTTATATGTAGCTATGTTGAAAAAATTGGAATTACAAAAAAGGAATATATATATATATATATATATATATATATATATATATATATATATATATATATATATATATATATATATATATATATATATATATATATATATATATATGGTATTTTAAAAGCAATGTAAAACTCTGCTGAATAACAAATTATATTCAATTAAAAGTTTCTAATAGTGTACTACATTTCAAACAACATCCAACCAGCAATATGAAACCATTATAAATGGAAAATTTGCATCTATAATAAACTAGAAAAAACAACGATTTAAAATAATTATAAAGCAAGAAGTTTCTTATGTTATCAGTTCACAATGACATCAAAGGAAAATGAACGTAACATACCAATTAAAAACTACATGAAAGTAAATTTTTGTACATAATCAACAATAACAAACTACTTTTCTTTATATATATATAATTCATTTTATATTATATTATTTATATATTTGTATTTTAAAGATCAATTTCAAATGACAAAGTATGTAAAAGGAAAAATATTAAACTACGGTAATTAGGAGGAAGGATTTTGTTTTGACCATGCTAACAAATTACAAAGTATTTTAATGGAAGAAAAAAAAACAGAACAGATTTAAAAAAGAGAAAATTTATACTTTAGAATCAACACTTTTTAATACTAATTTTTAACATAACTCTTTGTCTACTTTTTACTACTACAACTTCTAATGTTAAAAAATATATCTCTTAGTTACACAATAGGAGATAATAAGAAGTAATAGTTTTAAAATCACCATACCAGCATTGTATTTTGACCAAAATAAATGTCACTTTTTAAACTAAATATAGATTTGCCTATCAGCTTGACAAATTCTGAAAGATCTGAAATTTTGTGTTGTACTTTTGTGATAAAAGAAAATACCTATCTCCTCTCATTTAACAGTGTCTACTGCTTACACGAAGTGCTGGTTTCAGATTATGTGCATATAGGAACAGATAATTGAAATTTTCATTAGAGGGATGAATTGGAGGGCAGCCAGACTATTTAGGTAAATCACAGCTATGACTCAAAAAGCGATTCATGAAGCTACTGCCATTATGCAAATTTGTATTTGAAAAAAGGGTTTCATAACCTTAGAGCTATTTGCAGAGAAATTGTTCAAACTTGTTGCTAACAGTGTAGAGGGATTTAACATTTCACAGTCAATTTATGGTGCCATTGAAAAGTCATACTGCGGCTCCTCGGTTAATAAGTATTTTGGTCTGAATGTTTAACTTAGAGTACGGACAGGGTGTGAAAAACCTCACACAGATATTTTAGATGAGCTTGAAAGGATCTCTGTGAATTATTTTTGGATGGAGGCCCTAGCCAGTTACTAAAACGCTTAAGTAACCAAGCCTCGATACATTTAGGTTTTCATAAAGAAAGACCTTGTCTTGAATACATAACATTACTCAATGCATCAGGCGTCTTTTTGCCCCAAAACCTAAAAAATGCAAGTGAAGCAATTTTAAATTGGAGTGCAACATTCAAGTCTTGTAAATGGGAATAATTTGAGGTTAAGAAAGCTGCTCAGCAGTGTGTACTCTTAATGGAACGACCCTGGAGACATTTGATTCCCATAAACTATAGGGCACAGACTTGATACCAATAGTTCCGTAATTGCTAATACGATGTCACTGAGACAAGGGCTTGGGTTACTTTCCTTGGGATCAGCTCCTCCAAACTTGGTTGGTCCTCTAGGCCGCTGACCTTTCCGTATTTAGAAGGTATTGTCTTTGAAATTCCAGGTACTTTAAGGCTTGCAGACTTTCTCAGTTTCTTTTGAACATGGCAAACATATGGGAGTTGTATTTAAGAGATTGCCTACTTTGACCTTTCACGGCATGCTAATTAGGCCCCAGAGCACTGCAGGCCATAGAGAGGTGCTCTGAGAAGCCCAGCGGTCTTTTTCCCACTTCACTCTCTCTCTCCCTCTGAACTTGTCTCATCTTGGAGCGGCCTTATCTGCTACCCACCACTGCCACTGCCCTTCGACAGGGTTTCAAAATTAAAATTTTGCTTCATGTGCTTCTAATAACCACTAACCTGAACCTGTACTACTCCCTCCTTCCCTTATCATATCCCCCTTCTCCAAACCCTTCCCTTTGCTCATTCATTCTCCTTCCTTTCTTTCCAAAGGAAATGAACGTGTTCGAAATTACTTTGACCCGCCGTCGCCAGAACAGACAGACCCAAGGCAATACGGGATGGCTAGGGTCAGCGCCGAAGATGAGCTGGAATTAAGTATGCCATTCTCTGTCATAATGGTTCTCCTCGGTTCATTAAAGAGGGGTGAGAGAGATCACTGGTAGCAGGCTGCCATTTGTGGCAGCGGGACATTTTATGTAAATACACCAAACGATGGCATTACTAGATTGGCTACCCAACTCGTTGTCATTGATGAAGGTCACAAATCATTGGTCAGTTTTCATTTCAGCGAAGAGTTTTTTTCTCCCTAGTCAAAAAGACACATGCAGAGTCATATCAATAGTTTGCAGCCTCCTGCTAAAGTGGGCCTATTAAAAAGAAGCTCTTGGGAGCCAACCAATATGCATGTTATAATGAAACCTGGCTATTAATGGAGCAGCTATTTCACCTGTATCTTTTGGATATCACAGCCTTGTAATATCAAAGGATTCACCGAATCAAATCTCATCACATGATGACAGGCCAGCTAACAGGCATGTTAATGCTCCTATTTCATTATCCCCATCTGCATGGACTTCATTTTCATCCTTCCCCGCTGCAGCTAATGCCTCCAGTTTGCAGGTTAAGATGTGGTTTAGATTAACTTGTCTGATAAGTAGAAGGTAATTTTGAAGCTAATAAATGTGTTTTTCACTGAAGGTAAAGTCATTTTCTCAATGCTTTGGTTTCTAGAAATACCAAATTCAGATGAAAACAGACTGTATGAAAAAATGACTGCACTACTGGATGAAAACGAAACATTTCTTGACCTACCTGGTATGTATCTCTGTAATCTTGTAATAGTTATCTTTTATGTTACCTGCATAGTTTTATGATACGTTGTAAATTTCTTTGGATGAAAGTATCTGCCAATGCAAAACAATAAACAAGAGCTTTAGTCATCTGGAGGTTAACAGCTGTGGAAACATTCACATTTTAGAACTCAGGTTTACAATGGCTTGGAAAAGTATTGAGACGATTGTATACCCTTCTGATTTTGTCAGAATGTGACCATGAACCGCAGTGTATTTTATCACACACCTTGGTTATAGACCCAGAGACATGAGTGCGTACTTGTAGAGTTATTTTTTTTTTTACTAAATTGTGAAAATCTCAAAAGCATGGCAAGTAATTTTAACCAGTGTTTTATTCTGATAAGCTAAAATGAAATCATATTTACACAATAGCCGTCTGAAGTCACAAACTTCGTTGGCAAAGTGTTTTGTTTGTTTTTGCACTATTGTAAACCTAAAATACATTGCCTTTCTCCTAATCTGAGGAGCCAGATAACAAGAACATTAATAACAAGAGTAGACACGAGCACCATGGTAGTTCTGGAGGAGCTAAAGCACTACAGGTATCCACAATTCTATCGAAAGTACAACTATTTCTTATTGTCTCTACAAACCCACTGTGTATAGCAGGTTGGCAATGCAGGGCAAGGAAAACCCAGGCAAGTTCATTTGTTTACAATCCAGTAAAATGACAACTCAACGTGTTTTACATGAATGAAACACTATTTGAAGTTTGGCAAAAGTATTTACAGCAGTGGTTTTCAAACTCTGTCCTGGGGACTCTATGGCTACGTTCACACTGCAGCCTGAAGTGACCCAATTCCGATTTTTTTGCCCATATGTGACCTGTATCAGATCTTTTTATGACAGTCTGAACGACACAGATCGGATTTTTTCAAATGCGACCCATGCCACTTGGATATGTGGTCCTGAATCCGATACGGATCTGATCTTTTCAAATGCGACCTGTGTCTGTACGGCCAGGTCGCATTCATCCGACCTACACGTCATTGATACTTGACAAATGTTACTAAACGTTACTAATCTGCGTCCTACTAAGCGGAGGCGGGAAAAACTAACAACCATTGCGGAAGATAACACAGAGAGCAGTCAATGGAGAGAAAGTGAGGTTGCTGACTTAATTCATATTTGGAAAGATAGCTCGATTCAGATCAAACTCGAAGGGTCTTACCGGAACCTGGCTCTCTTTCTTTTTGATCTTCTTAAAAAGATTTCGTTCGTAATGTGCCTGCTCCTGTTGGAGAAGAACTTAAAGAACGCAATATACGCTGCGGTATTACGAGTCATGTTTACTTCCGCAAACACTGAGGACGCTTGCTACATGTGACGTCATCGCGTCCTCGAGTGCGCATGCGGGACACTTCGGTTGAACGCTTTCAGTTCACACAGTAGATAACATACAAGTCGCATATACTTGGAAGTGTGAACGGACATGCAAAAAAATCCGATTTCACAAAAAAATCGGAATTGAGCATTAAGGCCTGCAGTGTGAACGTAGCCTAAGTCCTGCATGTTTTAGGTATTTCCCAGCCTCTGCACACCTGACTTAAATAAATGGGTGATTAGCAGGCCGCTCGAGCCTGTGGTCGCTGCTGAGTGGGGAGTGCACTTATTTGATGCAGGTGTGCTGGAGCAGAGACACATCTAAAAAATAGAGGACAGGGAGTCCAGACAGAGTCTGAAAACCACTAATAGAGAGCTATTAGTGGAGGGCACTAGAGGGCACAGCACTCTGGACAAATAAAGCACTCTGGTCAACATTTCACACCTGCATTGAAATCCAGTACTGTGTGAAGCAGAAACTCATATTTTGTGGTGGTGGTGACATCATGCTAGATGACTGGATACGAATGTACTCCATGCTTTAAGATTTGTATCTTTTCAGAAGTCTAAAACCTTAATATTCATTATCATCCAGTTCTCACATCACATCAAGTACCAATAAAAATTATAGCAAAAACATCAGAATGCTTAAAGGTCCTGATCACTTTAACAGGATGCTGTACATTTATAAATCATAGTGAATGCAAAAATGTTTGATACTGAAAATAAAATAATCAAGGTAAGGGTGTACATCAAAAGCGGGACTATAACGAGAAATAAACTAAAACTTGTGCTTTCCATGTACAGTATAGCATTGTTTCATCCAGGCGTGCCTTTCCCCAATAGCTGACTTTTATTTCTACGCTGTGCCCACCAAGGCAACACTGAGATGGTTAAATCTTGGCATTGTTCAGTGAAGACAGTTATACTAGATCTTTCTGCCATGTCGTGCTCCACCCTTGTAATTCCTGCACACGAGTGATGGGTTTAGGCCCGATTCAGCATGGGAGAATTTAGAAGACTTGCATTATTTGCCACTGTTTTGGATTTAGCTGTACCACCAAGATTAGTGGCCTAATTCATTGTCTTGGGATGTTCGTAAAAATCCCACCAGAGAATGTAAAGAGGATCTTGGATTAACAGTTCCACTCAATAGGCTGAGGCAGAGAGGAAGAGCTTGTCCTCCTGTGCTAAACTGAAACTGTAGTGACTGCCAGTTAGCACTTTACTAGCAAACAAAAGACTTCAAAACAATTAACTTATGTAGTTGTACGGTTTCATCCCTCTGGTACAGGCTGGAAGTGTTCAATGTGGCAATAGGGCAGCATTTTATAGTTGATCTCAGTATTAAATGACTGGCACAGGCTTTGGTATATGATTTTCCTGTCTGCCACAAAGAACTATGGAATTTAGAAGCAACAGTATGAATAAGACAAAGCTTTAATAAAATGGAGGAAGGCCAGTTTTGCAGATGTTTTCATCAAAGATCCTTGAGATAAAAACTCTGTTTTTATCTTGATAAATTCTGTTGTTTTTGCTTAGAGAGCTAAAACAGTAAAACTGGCTGACTGTTGATTCCTGTTTTTGCAAGGCACAAGGCATTGATATCAACCTCTGTACAAAAAGCATGAGGCAAAAACAAGAGCTTTGGCTCCTACACATGTTGGATGGCACACGTTGAATACATTTTATTCGCTAAAAGAATCAACATGATTTATTTTAGGGAGTACAACAGATATGAAAAGATAAACATTTAAAATAACTTGATACACTTAATATTTGATGCTATTTATCTAAATTTTGAAAGAGTTTTCTTCCAAGGTATAGAGCTTACATTTGAGCATTAAGCCTCGCAAAAGTATTTAAATGTATTAACATGGTGACACCAGAAATGTTTTTTATTCTGGGTTTGTTTTGATTTTTAGTGACATACCAACAGAAAATATTTACAAGTCAAAAGTAAAACCAGTGATATATTTAACATTTTCTTACAAATAAAAATTGGTGAGGCAGCTTTTACAGATCAGCAATTTTATTTTGAGTTACACATATGGATTCTACATGTAAATAGGTTAACTTCCTAACGCAATGATTTGTTCTGAATTTGAGGGTGTCATAGTAAGTTGGGCTACTCACAAATAAATGCAATAACTTTCAGGTTATTATTTAATAAAAATTTTCCAATCAGTATATTTTAGAGTATGCACTACTTTATATTGATCATTAACAGAGGTGTTAAAACACTTTGCCTACCAAACAAAAGTTGAAAAGTTCAAAGTAATAGTAGGTTAAAAAATATACAAATCGATGAATGATAAATTTAAAACTGAGGCTCACCACATCTGAAAGTGGGAATTGAATTTTTTTTTGTTTATATCTGAAAAGTCCCTTGCATAATGTCAAATATTGGTAAAACAATTTCAAAATTGTTATCTCTATCAGAGACTGTCTTTGTAGTCTAAACATATGCCTTTATTAAATTGGGATTTTGAGCCAATCAGATCAGCACCCGTGTGATTTTGTGTTTTATCTTAAATAGATAACAGTCCATTTCAATGCTTTCTGTGCAGAAATGTACATCTGTTTGTGTGTGTGAGTATGTGTTTCTGCTAAGTATGCTCATCCATCAGCATGTGAATGCATGTGCTGATGTTTATGAATGCCCATTCGGCTGTGTGTCTGTGAGTGTCTGTTTGTGGGTGTGTGTCTGTGCGTATTCACCGATGCGTTATCTCTCCAGGTACGACGCAAGCCTCAAGGGATGAGGAGGTGTTTGAGGTGAAGGCGGGTGATCTGGTGCTTCAGCGGCGACTGCTGCTCCAGAGTGGTGGTGGCGGTGATGCCTCGGGCTCTGAGCCCTCCCAGGCCCATACCATTGCCAAAGCACTGGCAGAGAGTAGTGCTTGGATGGGAGGAGAGGCTGGACTCCAATCAGGTAGGATGATAGCAGCCAAAGAAAAAGCTGTAAAAAAAATAATGCTATACTTTTATTTGTTTCAGTAGTTTATTGATTGTGTAATGATATAGGTCTTTTTTTAGTATAAAAAAATCAAGCATTCATTTACAAAATTCTATGTAGAGCACATTTTAGGGTGATAAAAGTTACAGACCATTTAAACAAAGATCCATATTGTGCAGATTAAGTTAGTAAATAAACTTAATTCACATTGCTTGCATAATAACCCAGTCTGGGAAAAAAATAAAAGTAAAATATATCTATATGTCTGTATTTTTCATTTTTTTTTTTAAATGCCATGAGCTATTTCTTGCAGCTAGTGCAGCTGAGGAAGTGATCCCCTGCTACGCCCAGCAGCTGAGGGAGCGCGTGCGGCCTGACATGATCACGCTTGGCAGCCTTTCACTGCAGCAGGTCAGTGCTACAAAGAGGAATATCTGTGTCATCATCCCAAATTCACCAGCACATCAGCCGTGTCCATTATGCTGTGTATCAGAGGTTTGGTTAATGGACACAGAGTGTGTGCGTGTGTCTGCTTTTGTCTGTCTGTTTGTATACTGTATGTCTAACTTGCTTTAGTGAATTCATGTTTCCCATTCCACCCTGGTGTCTGTGCTTTCTGCTTTCTCGTTCTATAATCTTAATTTTTTCTTTTTACATTTGTTTTCACAGATTTTACAAAATCTCAGCTGTGAAATTTCTTTTCTCAAACAGACATTCAAGGTTTTTGAGAGGTTATATTGCTCATTCATCTTAAGCTCAAAATTGGTGCATGGATTTCAGCTCTATCCTCTATAGCACATGAAATATTCTCACCTAATTAATTTATTCTGTCTTTCAACTTGTTTGTGTGCTATGATGCCTATTTGTCTCCAAGAGAAGCTGCATTTGCTTGCTTCTTTACCAGCCTTATGATCTTTTCACCAAAAAATGGAGCATGACAACATATTATTTTACAACAGGGGATTTTGCAAACTACCATCAGAAGCCTCTTTGAGTAAAAAAAAAAAAAAAAGTGTTTGCATGTTTATACTCCCCCAGTCAAAAGAGGAATGGGAGCAGATAGAAGAATGCCGGGGTTATATTGTCTTGGGAAATCCAGATTGCCAGGCGTTACAGACATTGATGCATATGTAAACTGGTAGCAGAACTTCTATTCACTGTATTTTTAGTTTTAATCTCATTGGAAAAGACAGAGGGAATATTGCGTGAATAGAGAGCAAATGTAATATGGAAACAAATGCACAACAGTGTTTCAGTGTCATTTGGAAGTCATTGCAACAGTTGACTCATCTTCATATAAGTGGATAATCAGTGCCATCCACTTTATCAGGGCTGGGATAAGTGTTATCTTATTCTGGTATAATATGTACATTCTCTGTCACTGTTTCCACACCCACCTTCAATGAAAGTACATTATCCACCCAAGATTTCACATCTATTTGAAAATTATAGCCTTTTTCTTCTCTTTCTTCCTCTGCAAGATGCCGTCACTTAGCAATGTCAATGTGTCTGAATGGGGAGTGTGAATATGCTGACTGAATGTAAAACTGGCTGAAACACTCATCAAATGCTCCATGTCTTTAGGGTCTGGCTCAGTATTGATTGCCTGCAGATTGCATTACAGTTACTTCTTGGGCTTAATTCTGCTATTATGGTGCACAGTATTGCTTTATAAGGCGGTATCCATAGAAAGTGTGTCTCTGTATTTACATATATTTTTAGCAACCAGATCAGAAGGGAACCCAGGAATGGAGTGAGTGGGCAAAGAGGAAAAAAAGACTAATAGCCTTCTTCACTGGCAATGTCGAGGTAAATCAGCATGTATTGTATACAGACTGAGTAACATGTATTTATTTTTTCAGCCAAGGGAAAAAAAACAGCCATTTATTATATTTTTTACCCTACATTGCATTTCAATTATTTATTTCGGTATTATACAAAATGTAAATTTTTAAAACTTTTCACCATAGCTTTGCCTTTGGCAATCTCCTATTTAGTGCCTTACAAAAACATCAAGACTCCCTGTTCTGTTGCATAACAACCAAAAATATTATATGTCACTTACAGTATATAGATTTATTGTCAATAATAAACTGAAACTTTCATATTCTTGAAAAATAAGAATCCCAAATGAATGACTTACTTTTAGCTCCCTTTACACCCTAGTCCCTAAACAAATCGTGCAATTACCTTCAGAAGTCATGTAATTAGTACATACAGTCCAGTAGTAGATGCAGCTGCTTTGTAAAGACTTTCAGGGTTCGTCAGAAAACTCTAGAAAATAAACACTGTGAAGAACAGCTACGAAGTTGGAAAGAATTTTGAAGCACATTCAAAGGTATAGTGGAGGATTTCCGCAAATTTTCTCTCCTTAAAAAAAAATAATGCACATGGACAACCCTGGACCCGCTCCCGAGAAGGAACGCTTATAAAACATGTGCAAGAGCATGCAAAGTCCATTTCTCCTCGGGTAGGCGCATTGATGTAACGATAAGAGATCTCATGTCACCAATATTTATATATTAAACACTTCCCCACAAATAAGACTACACTTACATTAAAAAAATCATTACATGCTTGTATATGTGTGTGTGTTGCAGTGGAAATTTGGACATGTTTGCGGGGTAAATAAGGATCTGTGACCACCGTATAACTACTAACGATGCAAATTACAAAATAAATAAACTTATCTTCCCTGGCAAGTTACAAGATAGTTGTAGATAACTTTTACTAGCAGTGATATGAAATATATTTCTCCATAAAGCATGCCAAAATTTATGTGTCAAGTAGAAACTTTTCAACCAAGGCATCAGTGGGAAGCCCTACCTGTACATTGTACGCCATCACGTGAAAGAAGCTCCCAAAAAACACTCTGGTTTTGTTTCTCTCTTCTGAGGCTTTTCTTTTCTTCACATACACTTTGTCCCTCACAACCCTTGGCCATTTTCAAAGAACCATGGTGAGAAAGACGAGCTTCAATTACTGGCTGAAGTTTCATGGTTTACCATAGCTAACCATACCTGAAAGTGCGCATGCACGGAAAAAGATAGCTGCCTGGCGACAAGTACTGTACGTAGAACGGCCTTACTTAAACATGTCACCGGAATGATTAGGAGAAGCACTTATTTTGATGATCTACCCGAAAAAAAAAAATCTTCCACTACACTTTTAAGATCTTGAATATTTAAGCTTTAAATGTATCAGCAAGAACATATCCCCATAAAAAGGAAAGACAATGGCATACCTGCAACCCCACCAACAAAAATCAAAGAAAGGGCAGCAATGCCCCAGTGCTGCAATATTAGTATGACATCTTGTTTCAGACACTCAAACATGTAAACAATAGCTTCTGCAGTTTAAATCATGCATAGGATATAATCTCTGTCTTAAGCTTGAACAGAGATTTTTCAGAACTGACCTCAAGATAGAGCTAATTATTTGGCAATTGTGGAGTAAAACCTTAGCCTAGTAAACTAGCCCAACCCGCCAGCGGCCAAAATCATTTTTGCCTGCGAGTTTAAAATGAGATAAATTACACATTTAATCTCACATTTAGTCTGATTTATCAGGCTAGTAAAACCTAGATTTCGGACAAAATGTTTATTTATAACTTGAGCTGAGGTTCACAGGTCCATGACTTTGGACACTCAGCCAAAGCATCAGCAGACTCATTTAGCACAAAGCATATCCATGTGTTAGAATGACCCAGTTAAAGTCCAGACAGAAAATCCTACATAAAATCCACTTTGATAGTTAGAAATTAATATGATATGCAATCCATCTAAATACATTTACTTTATGCCTGTTGTTTGGCAAAAATGTACCATGGATGAAAATACTTGTGAAAAAGCATTATTAAATACATTTATAAATAAAGACAGGCAACACATTATTTTGATAATCCTTGAGGAGAAAATCATTTAATTTATCCGAATACATATTTTTTGAAGGAACCCAGATCACACAGAGTCTGTGATGAAGAATTAAGACCCCAGCCCAGGCTGAACACATTGTTTGAATGGTAAGTACCGCTCCTTTTATATTCCTCCCCATATGTAAAACTGATGTCACATGACTGTAACCATTAATTGTGTAAAAAAGCATTTGTATTCCCACTGACATTCCAGATTCATATGTCCTCTGCAAGCCTTCTGCTGTCAGCCAGCATTGCATTGTGGGTAATATTGCTCAGGGGCACAGAAATCTGTCCATGTCATTGGGCTCGGAGGTGCATCAATTTTTGCTCCATCCACTTTGGTCAGACTTCACATCTTGTGGTGAGAGCCCTGCAGGCAATCAGCTTAGCATGTTTAAGTTTCCAGTAATTACGGTATACCATGCTGGCTGAGATGATAAAAATCAAGAAACTAGTATATGCGTCAGAGTCACGGCTTGTGCTGGCCTGTGTTATGGGTGGGTGGGAAGTCGGACACCAGCCCTGTCAGATGAATGTGATTTGGAGTTTAGTGAGATGACCTCCTCCAGACAGCCTTGAACCCTGTAAATTCTTGCTGATATCAATAGTGGGTGGCTATTAGACATGGGAGACTTTCTACGCATCACCCAGGGCTACATCTTCCTGAAATGGAAAGAGAAATTATTTCACTTTTCTCTCCCTACATCTTTTAGAGAAAAAGAAAAGAGAAAAAATTAGAACAGACACAAAGCTGACTTGTATTTTTCTATCAAATGTGTAATTCATTTGTTTCCACCATTTCTGATTTAATGGAGGTTGAGTAATTGCATTAGGAAGCACATTGTACCATGTTGTGAACTGATGAAAGCATGTGTAATACTTTTGATAGGCAAACAGAGGGGAGCGAGAGAAAGAGAGAAAAGAAAGAAAGATCCAGTGCCTCTCTTTGATGCAGAGCGTTTATTTGCTGAATTATCCTTCCTTTAACAAGCATCTTATCCCCAGTCACAGGCAGGCCGGGGCCCCTGTGATATTGCTTTATTTTGAGGAATTAAGAGAGGTGGCGAGGAGACGAGCGAAGCAAGCGCTTATTACATTACAACTGATAAGATTGAAAGGCAGAGAAAGGCAGGGAGAGAGAGAGCCACAGAGAGAAGAGAAAAAACACAGAGATGGAGAGAAAGCGAGAGGGACCCAATGGAAAGTGTTTTGTTGTGCTGTTATTAGATTGAGCTGCTGTTGGCTGCAGAGTAGAACAACAGAGGGTCCAAAATGCAGGTGGCTGTTAACAGAGTTAGCACCTCGTGTTGGTGTGTGTTACATATGTATGTTTGTGCGCACTGCAGCAAAAACCTTGACAGCCTGTCAATCAGAGCGCTTGGGGAAGGCCGAGAAGAAGCAGCAGCCAAAGGGCCTCCACAGTCCACCTCTTCAGCATCACAGCCCTTGTGGCAGGTAAGGTGATGGTTGATACATTTCATGGAACAAAAAAAGGCATAAAAACAGGAAGCAACACAATTCTTGATTTCTTTTTTTTTTTGTGAGAATTTTTTTTTTAACCAGTGAGATAATGCTTGCAGTGGTTGCAATGATGGTGTCAAGCTACATTGTAGCCATAGCTGCCCTGGGGCACACTGATAGTAGCAAAGCTGCTGTACACAGGCACCACTAGGCTCTCTGACCACCATCAGTAGGCAATGCAGGTGAAGTGTCTCCCCCAAGGGAACTCCTTCTATTACAGGTCAACCTACTGCATCTGATGCCACTGTTGCCCCCTGTCTTATGTATTTTATGGTACGCAGGTTTCTTAAAGGTCCTAAACATTTTAAGTTTCAGCAGCTCAAACTTAGAACATCAAATATTCATTCTATTCTAATTTTTCAAAAAAGTTTGATCACAAACTAGATTTTAGTTGAAGCTGAAATTTCTGTTAGTTTAAATGTTGTGTCTTCCTCTACCTACTTGTAAATGATTGAACTTCAATTTCAAAGTCAGTCAGTTAATCAAACTTTCTTTAAACTGGAAAAAAGAGAAACAAAAATTAAAAATTATCAAACTAATTAAAGCAATATAATAATAGAAAAAAATGTGAATTCTCAAACTAATGAAAATACATCTTGCCAGAAGCCATCAGGTGCAATAGCCCCAATACAGAAATGTTTCTGACCAATGCAATGTAGTAATATCTATGATGTCAACCAGAGGCGGAACACTGAGGCAAAACAAACACACCTCTTCCGGTTTTAGCTGGAATACTCTCATTTTGAAAAAGGAAGTAATTTTTGCTTTTATGGACTGGAAAGATGTTTGTTTCTTCCTCCGACCTGATTTGGTAAGAGTTTGATCTATCAGTTAAGAAATAAAGAATGTGGTATGTTGCAGCTGCTACTGCTGCTGTTACTGGCTAAAGACTCGACATGGTAGGCGGGAAGCCATTCAACTTGAAGAATTGTACTCGATGTGTCAGGCTCAGAACAATGGGACCCAGTATTCGAGATGGACAAACAGTAAGATTTCTCAAAACATTTATTAGAAACCAAACTGCTTTGGCATCCAAGGCAGGAACCTCTGCATAAGGAGAAAATAGGTTAGTGACCGTGTCTATCCGGAGGTGAGGTGGACAATAACAAATGTGTGAGTAACTAGCCTGGTCTTAAAGTTCTGGTCGAGCCAAGGGGATGAGGCTGCCAACCAAAAACAGTGGGCTCATCCCAAAGACTCCCAGAAGCTGATGTCTCGGAGGTCAGAGGACAGGCAGGAGATCAGAACCGAGCAGACAAAGGAAGGCAGGATAATTGAGAGGGCGGAGACAAAGCTGGTGTCGAAGATGTGCTTGGTAGTCAGAGCCAGGAGATCAGAGGTCCAAAGAGGTGCCAAAGGGAAATCCAGAGCAGAGTTGGAGAACAGTTCCAGGTGCGGTTCAAAGACAGAAATCTGGCAGGAGTCCGAGGACAGGTCAGGCAAACGGATCAGAACGGGAACATGCAGGCTCGGAGGTCCAGACTCACCTGCAGAACTCACCTGCAGGCAGACAGAAAGTGTTGCTACCTGTGTAACTCTTTAGCTATTGTATTATAGATACGGAAACAATGCTATATGAACCATGGTAGGCTGCTAATGTTGAAAACACTACATCCACATGAACAGATACTTACAGAGTCAAATTCTCTAGCATTCTTATTGTGAATATAAAAAATTGTGCTCTGATAAGCTAAATTTTCTACTTAAGATGATAAAATATGTAATTAAGGATGATTTCAGACCTTTCCAAAATACTAAATTTTAATGAATTTAAAATAATTCAATCACCATACTTGAGACTATCAAATTTATTTATCTTTTTATAGGCCCAATTTAGACCAAAGAGCTGCACCATATAGCTGTATTAAAAGTGGAATGAAAATCACGAATGTAAAAGTGCATCGCATCAATCTATGTGTCCAACACATGCTTCCACTGTGAATAATCTTAGTGAAAGTTTTAAAAAGTTTGCCTGTCCTGTACCTTTGATAATTGGCTACCTATACTGTAACTATTTTAAAATTGTGTTGTAGCTGTTGCTCATATTAGCTGCCGACAGATGCCATTTTTAACCCAGTTCTCCAATTTAGGCATTTTATTATCATCAGGTATATTTAAACTGTTAGTGTTTTTTTTTTTATACATATTTTAATATTTTATTAATTTTTCCATTTTAATAAAGACAAACACACATTAACATAACAATACACCGGCTCAAAAAGAAAAAAAAAAAAAAGTAAATATATATATAAATTACCCTTATTATTTATATATATTTAAATATATATAAATTTTTATATATAAACTGTTAGTGTTAAAATTACCATCAAGTATATTTTTATGACAGCATCAATATTTTAAGGAACTGGGGCAAAGGAAAATAGTGGGACATAGGTAAGCCAATGAGCCTTTAAAGTACTGTTGCACTAAACTGGTTCTTTAGATGTGGAAAACAAAGCCTGTGTCTTTAAGAACAGAAAAATGGTATACTGGAAAAAAAAAATGTAAAATCACGGTAAAGAAATTGATCCTGACATGTTTACAAATATTATTAAGAAAATAGCACTGTTTATCAAAAGTTTGCATAAAATGTTTTTAATTTTGTGTATTTTAATAGGATAGGACCTTTGAAAGAACGACACAATTAAAACTGTTTCATATGAGCATAACCCTAGACAGACACAAACTGTCATGTTGAATAAATGAAAATATGATTGAAAATATAATTTATTTAACTGACTTTAATCACTTAGTGAAACAGTGTGGATACATTATTTATAAACAGATTAATGTTTTATTTCCTTTATTAATGTTAATTTTAAGGATTTATGCTTACAGCTATTAAAAACATGAACTTTATAGTTCCATAATTACATCAGAACTAAAAACATAGAAAAAAAACTATATCAGAGAAGGATTGGGGTTAATTCAAATTAGTGTTTAATTCCTGCTTAATGTTTGTTCATTTCATGACAAACAAGTCTCATCAGAATATATATTTACATTTTTTATATATGGCTGTTTCCAGGCTCTATATACAACATTGAGCTAAGGAGAAATACCCTATACACTAAACTTACTATTCAGGACTATTTTCCTATTTAAACGCCTAAAGATTTGTTTTCTATTTTTATGTCAGTAGTGTCTTTATTTTAAGGAAAAATTAGCCGGTGGAAGATCTATCTTTAAAGATGAAATGCAAGCAGTGAAGAGAGAGACAAAAAAAGAGGGAACCAATCAAGAAAAAGCGAGAAAGAGACTGCAGCTTTAGCATAGCATTGCCAGCTGTGGGAGTGAGTGTACTGTTGTGTTGCAGCTGGGGATGAGCCTGCCATGCCACCTTGCTGGCTTAAAGATGTAATGAATCTTCAGTCGGGGGCTTTCCTTCCAGGGTGACAACTGGCTTTGAGGAAGGTTGTAAATGCAGGGGAGATTGTGGTATAATTCCTCAGACTGGCGTTTGTGCCCCCCAGTCACCATTCGATTATCTCCCAAATTGCTGTGTTTCACTGAGATAAAGATTTTTTATGGCTTGCTGACTTGAAACAACTAGTGCAGGCAGAATAAGGGGGGAACGCAGAGAGAGGCAAAAAGAAAAAAAGATGGAAAGAAAGAAGCAATGGCCAAACCTGCCACGCATAGTAATTTCTTTTGGTAAATGACAAAATCTTTGTTTATATGACATTTCTTGAAAATTACTGCAGTGAGATGAATCTGAAATCTAAAATGTCACATTTGGCATGTAAAACTATGAAAATATATTTCTGTGCAAAATTCATGCAGGCATTTAATTTAGAACGTGTTTAATAACTATGGCAGCCTGCATCAGTAATCCTGCCCGGAGGTCCAAAAAAGATTGTCATATTTATTCTCTCTTTTCTTCACCCCCTTCTTCATTCCAAAGCCAAAATATTTTAAGGGTAAATGTTCATTGTTAATTAAGATTTACTAATTAAAATGAAAATAATTAAGAAGAAAGCTTAATCTCTGAATATTAGCCCATACTTAGAAAGAAAGGAAGTTTTTGTATGTGGCATTTCCTGTCTCCATTAAGGGTGCATTTTGTATGATCAGTCAATGTGTGGAAATCCCTGAAAAGATCTTTCAGTGATGGGACGGCTGCTTGCCAGAAAAACCACGGAGGATCCCGCACTAGAGCCTTTGATCTCATCTGTAGGAGTGCTGTAATGTTATGGCACTTTAGGCACAACTCAGGCTTGGGGCAAACAAACCACCTCTGATATGGAAAATTGGCTCACTTCACCTTTTACCTCCACCTTTCTGTCTTAGCTATTTCCTCTTATGCCTATGCAATCATTTAAGCCAGACAATAACAATACTTCTGCATCACTCTCTGAAAATTAGACACAGGTGTGATATTATTTCCTTGCTTCTTTATTCTCTTCCCACCTTCCTCCTCCTTCTCCATCTATTCAGTTTCAGTCAACATGCATACATCTTTGTTAATGTAGAGCTTGGAGGCCTTCCCCACCTCCTCCTAAATGTAGGACGTATGGTATGAACCGCTTTTCCACCATTTATACTAATTTTACTTCTCCCTATAATTTCTTTAGTTGTTTTGGTATCCAAAGAAACTCACAATGGTAAGATTGAGAAGATATTGCTTCAAGGAACGGCAGACGCCTTACCCCTTAACTGATTGGCATGGTCATGGGTATTATCACCATTTAATAGCTACAATGGTTTGTAATGTTTTTAAAAAAACACACATTAGGTTTAGGTATGTGTTGGATCGGGGTTAGACAATAAAAATTACTACAATCTAAATGAAAGTCAGTAGAAAGTCCCTACAAAGATAGTTTGACATGGTGTGTGTGTAGCCATCTGATTTTATCATTGAATAAAATAGAGGGCATACTTGCTGGACACCCAAAATATGCCCTCAGAACATTGTTAACATACTGTTTGTATAA